AACAACAAGCCTTTACTACAGTTAACAAACCATAAGGCAAAACAACAACAACCACAAAACCAACCCAAACACCCCAACAGTTATATGCATCTTACACACCTTTACACAAAAGTGTGAGCGCTCCATATTGGAAAGCAAGAACAAACCCTCTTAAAATAAAAGAGTGGGGATATACGGTAATTAAGTGCAGATAAATACATGCAGGCATTGCATGATTATTTGATGCTTTAATTTGTTGCCTCCTTTGTATGAATATGTATTATTTTATTATTTTGTAGAATGTGTGTCATTGGCAGGCTTATCTTTATCTATTTCCATCTATTTTATTGACTGTATGTACAGTGCTGTGTAAATCTACAGTGCTATATAAATAAAGCGTAATAATAATAATAATAATAATAATAATAACAGCTTAGTAAAATGTGTTTAAAATTCATGACAAAACAGATAGGATTAAAACATAAAATATTATAGATAGATAGATAGATAGATAGATAGATAGATAGATCAAATATTATCTATTTTAATCCTATCTTTTTGTGATATATTAAATATATTAAAATGGATGTGAGGGTGATCTGGCTGCGACATTTGCTTTGCTTTGATTTTTGCTGCTGTTGTTGTTGTTGTTGTTGTTGTTGTTGTTGTGTGTTTCCAACTGACAGCTTGGCAAGATTTGTTCAGAGGAGGTGTGCTATTGCCTTTCCCCTGAGGCTGAGAGAGTGTGACTTGCCCAAGGTCACCCAGTGGGTTTCCATGGCCGAGTGGGGATTCGAACCCCAGTCTCCAGCGTCGCAGTCCAACGCTCAAACCACTATCCCACGCTTTCTCTTGGATGCCTTCCTACTACAGGAGAAAATGAATATTCCTCTGCAGAATCTGAACGTCTCAAAGCGTTGGAGGAGGAATAATTAATGGTCTGGAGAAAACCATGTGGAATTTCCATTCCCATCCGAAAACGCATTTCCTGCTCCCAAAATGTCTTTTCTGTGCAGTGAGCTCAGTTTAGTCATTTTAGTGACTGGCGACAGTTCAGGCTCGATTTGCTCTCAGAATCCCAATTTCCATGCAGAAAATGTCTTTTTTTTCTCAGTGCAATAATTCTTCTGCAACGCTTCCGGATATCGAAATACCAGGGGAACTTTGGGCAAAAGCCTCACTGCGCCGCTATGCTTCTCGACAGAGTTTCCCAACTGTCAGCAAACCTATTTTTTGACCGGAGTAATTGGGAATTATGATGACTGGCTGCAAATATTATTTCTGACCCATCTATATAACAACTGCGCACTCCATATTGGTTCTTATTTGTGGCTGTTGTTATTGTTCAGGTCAGCTTTGAATTATGGAGGTCCTCTGAGCCCCCCGGTCACCCACGGCCCTGCTCAGGTCTTGCAAATTCAGGCCAGCGGCCGGAGCTTCCTTTAGCCAAAATCCCACACAGAGCCAGTAAGAAAGTGACTCTATGCTCAAAGAGTTATGTGCAACATGGCCTCGTTCGTACAAAATACAAAAACCATACAAAATGAATTGTATAGATCTAGGATGGGGGACCCCATGTCTTAACAGACGGCATGTGAAAGGGATCTAGGAGCGCTCATAGGCCATATTTTGAGCATGAGTCAACAGTGTGATGCAGCAGCTAAAAAGACCAATGCGATTCTAGGTTGTATCAATTGAAGTATAGTGTCTAGAACAAGAGAAGTCATAGTGTCACTGTATTCTGCTTTGGTCCGGCCTCCTCACCTGGAATAATCCT